AGATGGTTCCCTTAACATCTGTACAGCCAGTTAGGGTAGGCAAGCAAGAAAATCCCAACTTGGTTGAGCCTTCATGGATTTTCTGGGGCCTGTAGTAGCTCCCTGACCTTTTGCCATGGTAATGACCATGTCAGGGCAAATAATATTTCTCCCTCCCTTGGTTGAAATCATCTCTGCAGGTCAGTGCATCTAAGATTTTAAGCAGGCATGTCACATGATGGATGATGATCTTTGGTCAGGAGGGTACTCCCAAAAATAAGAGTCTTTGAAGCATGTTTCTACTGTGGATTAATACAGACTGATGTCTCTGGGGGAGAAAACCACACGTTGCTGTTAAACTTGTAGTTTTATATACTGTAAATTGTAAGATACCTTGAATCAAACACTGTTTTTATTAAGTGAATGAGTATGCATGCTGAATGAAGTGCACATAAAGAATACTTTTGACTTTTAAAACAATGTGTTGTAAATGAAACACTTTAATTAGCCACGTTGCTTTGAGAAGGATTTTAGGCAAACCTGGTTTTTATTCGCTGGTTGAGAAGTAATGAAATTAAACTAAGGTACAGAGGAAGTAAGATATATCTGTCTAAGTCAGGAACCCAAATGTGTGAAACCAAAAGTAGAATCTTGGGGTGATCTTCCCAGTCCTAATTGTCTTCCCCAGAATTCCCCCGTTTGTGCAGATTGTTCACTGCCTGCAGGTGCCTGGCTGATACCACGGGTAGAGGCAGAAATTCATCTCAGACCCCACTCAGCCAAGCCTTGGTCCATGGTGAGGGGCTGTGCCCATCTGGCTTCGGCCGTGGTGAGGGGCCCATCTGGAGATGGGACACCTTTTCCCAAGGCGCCAAGTCTGTTAGTGGAGTCTGAGGGCCGGCGCTGTTGGGTTGGGGTCAGGAAGCAGATCGCCCGTGTGAGCCAGGAGACTCTTCTGTGCATTACAGCTAGAACCACAGCTCCTCTTGGCGTAATCCTTAAACACCCTAGTCTACACGGGTATGGAGCCAAGGAGGTGAGAGCTGTGCACAATTGGAAGACGGTCTGTTGAGGTAACACTGGTTTCACTGTAGAAGTTATACAGGCAGAGTAGACCTGGGATGAAACTGGAAAGCATTTGAGATCTGGGGTGTCTTCCCGTCTCCTCTTTTGGACATGAGGCTCCTTTCCCCTCTGCCTCCCGATGCCACACTGCTCTGACACCAGCTTCAGATTTGCTCTTTCTACACACACACACACACACACACACACACACACACACACACCTTTTGTTCGCTAAGAACGTTGTTCAAGAGGAAAGTTCTTTCACCAAATTCATACATACATGTACATAGCTGAGAACAATTAGATAGTTCCATCCCCAAGGGCAGCATTTTAATCCTTACCTAGGAAATGAACTGCACCTTCCTCGTGGATGGCAGGCAGTGAGAAGGGGTAGGGATTCCGTTGCAGTGTTGAAGGCAGGCAGGAGTGCTTTCTGGTCCCAAGACCATCGCGCGTTGGTCTGAGCCCTTCCCGTTGGCCCCACACACGGGATTCTCTCACTTGTATCATCTGTGCTTCTCGCTGCTCTCGTCTCATGATTGTCTTCGGTTGGCTGTGTTCGGTGCCCCTGCCCTCCCACTGTCCCCATAGGCCAGTCTGAGCTCCGTGCTCAGCTCTGAGCCTGGCCACACTGGCTCGTGTTCCTCTGCTTCTGAGTTGCCTCCTTTCATGGCCACCCTTTCACCTTCCACTCCACCCCTCAGTCTTATTTTTCCTAAGTATCCCACTCCTGAAACCTGTCTGCTTGAGAGGATCAGACTCGGCCTTTGCTCTGAAGCTCTAGTGACCATGGCTGAAGTCAGGGGCTTCCCCACTACCCTCTTCTCCCACAGCCAGTGCCGTAAGCCCAGGAGAGGGAGGGGAGTGACTGAGATTCTGGTAGGAGCTTCCGGAAGGAGAGGTCATGTTTCTCGGTGCTTCTCTTACTCTAGCAAGCCCAGTGAGGCATAGTTGGTATTTTTTTATCTTCTTAGAGTGGTTACAGTGGGTTGCTGGAAGGTGGGACTTGACTTCCCTGTTAAAAGTTACTCCTGGATCCAGGGTGCCTGGATGGCTCAGTGGGTTAAGCATTTGACTTCAGCTCAGGTCATGATCTCACAGTTGGTGGGTACAATCCCCATGTCAGCCTCTGTGCTGACACCTCGGAGCCTGAAGCCTGCTTCAGATTCTGTGTCTCCCTTTGCGCCTCCCTGACTCACACTCACTCACTCTGTCTCTCTGAAAAATAAACATTTTTTAAAAATCAAAAAAAAAAAAAAAGTTACTTCTGGATCTGAAGCACGTCCTGTAGCTCATCTTGGGCTCACTTCATGCCTCTGAAGCTAAAGCCACTCATTAATTTGAAAAGTTCTGTAGAAAAAGGAAAAAATCTGTCATCAGGCCACATGAACTCTGGTCAAAGAAGTCAAAATAGCTGAAGTGAAAAGCACATCTAAAATTTAAAATGGTTAGTCTGTCCATCTGTAATTCTTTCAAGAAACTGCTTAATTTTCACTTTCTTCCATCATGCCAGTGAACTCCTACATTTTAGGACTTTTAATCCTTGGATGCATGTGGCATGAGTGCCAGGAAGCTGTGATTGTTTTCTCCTTTCTCTAGAAGGTGAGGTTTTGTATATTTAATCTTAGTAGACTCAAAAAATCAAATATACATCAAGCTTCCAAATTTCTTTTCCAAACGAGGAGGAAGCGTCATAGATGTGTTTAGGAAGGCTGAAGGAATGGAATTGCACTGTATTTACCCCTACATTTTTGAGTGAGTTTTTCTTTTCAAATTTTTATTTAAGTTCTAGCTAATATATAGTTATATTCTAGCTAACATAACAACATTGGTTTCAGGAGTAGAATTCAGAGATTTATCACTTAGATACAACTCTCAGTGCTCTCACAAGTGCCCTCCTTAATGCCCATCCCACACCCACCTCCCACCATCAACCCTCTTTGTTTGTTCTCTTAAAGAGTCAATAGTTAAGAGTCTCTTACAGTTTGTTCTGTCTCTCTTTTATCCTCCTCCCATACGTCCATCTGTTTTGCTTCTTAAATTCCACATGAATGAAATCATATGGTGTTTGTCTTTCTCTGACTGATTTATTTTGCTTAGCATAATACACTCTAGCTCCATCCACATCATTGCAAATGGCGAGATGTCATTCTTTTTGATGGCTGAGTAATTTTCGTTGTATGCCACATCTTCTTTATCCATTCATCAGTCGATTTACCATTTAGGCTCTTTCTGTATAGCTTGACTCTTGATGATGCTGTTGTAAATATCAGGGTGCATGTACCCCTTCAAATCTATATTTTTGTATTCTTGGGGCAAGTACTTAGTAGTGCAATTGCCAGGTCATAGGTTAGTTCTATTTTTAACTTTTTGAGGAGCCTCCTTACTGTTTTCCAGAGTGGCTGCACCAGTGGCTGCACTGCATTCCCAGTAGCAGTGCAAGAGGGAGTCCCTTTCTCCGCAGCCTCACTGACACCTATTGTTTCTTGTGTTATTAATTTTAGCCCTTGTGACAGGCATGAGGTGCTATCTCATTGAGGTTTTGATTTGTATTTCCCTGATGAGGAGTGATGTTCAGCATCTTTTCTTGCATCTGGGAGCCATCTGTACGTCTTCTCTGGAAAATGTCTATTCATGTCTTCTGCCCACTGTGAATGAGGTTTTATTTTGGAAGACCAGAATGCCAGTTTATGATTCTGAACTTTTGCTGGCTTATGATGCCAAGCCCCTGTTGTTAACTGTGCCATTTTTTGCTGTTCTTTGCCTTACTCACTCCATTCCCCAAAATAGAAGCAAGGTCAATGCCTCGGTGCTGTGCATTTCTTTCACACTCCTTGCTCTGCTTGGTGTACGAAGACCTCTCTGAGGACACCCCAACTCTGTGGCCCCATGCTCCAGGACCCTCCAGTCGAGACAGGCTGAAACATTTACAGTCCTCATGAGTCCGTCTCCCCACTTTCTTCCTCCGCCCAACTTACAAAGAGAGCTCAGAGGCCGCATCTTTTCTCTTTAAATTTTTAAAGAGTTTGTTCACTCCGTTTTCCTGAGCCTGATTGTGCTAAGAAACTGTATGCTAATGAACAGATCGTTATCTGATTTAAACAACTATGTTAACCAGTATCTTTAGCTACAGGTTAAAGAACAGATGGGTCATCCTTCAGAAGGCAGAAGTGATAAGGCTTCCACACCATTTTCTCTGGGGGAAGACATTGGTTGGGAGGAGGGCTTTTGCTGGAGTCTCCTTGTAGGGAGAGGAGGCATTCAGCCTGGACTCCCATCAGCTCTTGGAAAGAAGGAATCAGAAAATTGCCAATTGATGTGCTATAGCTATAGCTAATACTACATGGGAGAGTGTGCCCAAACATCCATTTGTCCACCCGTCCTGTAACAATTTCCAAACTGGTTAAAATAGCCTTTCATTTTGGCCAGCAAAAACTGAGTATATCTCATACAGCATGTTGCATTACAATACTATGGTGGAAATGAAGAATAAAGCACAATTTTAGCTTTTAAGAACCTTATAATCCCGTGGTCTAAACTATTGAGTTTAGAGAGTGTTTCTTTCAAAAGTGTGATTTCTAGAATATCCCTTAAGGAAATTATAGTTCTTGTAAGTTTCTGCATTTGTTACCGTGATGAAACACCTCTCTGAAGGCACTCTACACAGGCCCCATTAACATGTCACCCACCACTTCCACCCCTCATTCCTGAAGAGCTGTGTTCCAGGTAGTTGGTGCACAGAGTTACGAATTGATTTCCAACGTGGGTAAAGCTAATAAATACGGCCTGAGTGAAAGGCACTGGTAAATGCTTGAGATGTTATTACTGTTCTCATGCACTTTATTATTTTTAAATTGTGCATCCTTTTAAGTAGATTATTTGTTCGCCGTCGTCTCCATTATATCTAAGCGAAGCATTCACAGAAATTTCTAAAACCTTTTCATTTCTCTCTGTAGGTTGTTGTTTCGTAACATTTTATACAAGAAAAGCCGCACTTGAGGCCCAGAATGCACTGCACAATATTAAAACTTTACCTGGGGTGAGTCGGTTTACTTTTGTACCAAAATCACTTTATTGCTTGAAAATGGTCCTTTCAACTGAAGGTTCTAGTTATGGGCTCTTAGTGGCAAAAATGACTTGGGTCTTTTGAGGAGTGTGTGCTGACCCTTGGATTCCCTGCCGCAGCCCAGGCAGCTGGCCGGCCCAGAAAGGAGCATTGACATTAATGCTGATGGAAAGAGCTCCCCTGGTTAGAAAATCAGAGTGACCCCACTGGGCAGCAGGGGCCGCCAAAGAGTGTTGGGTGGGCTAAGATTTTAAAAGGGGGAAAAAAAAAACCAATACATGTGAGAGAAGCAGATGGAAAAGGAAAAGCTTTTACTCACCAGGAGCTCCTTTTGAAATTTAGTCTTAGATTTTTCCTTTGAAAAGACAAAATGTACCCTGTACGGCCTAATATTAAACCTCCTAATGGCTTCTCAACAGTCAATGGTGGTTAACAAAGTCAGTGTTTTAATGCCTAATTGGTGGCTTCATGTTGATAGAGAACAGAAAATACAAAGCTTATGATTTTTTGCCATTTCCTTCCTGGTAATATTTGACAATTAGTACAATTGACAAGAAACAAACTGATGCTGTATATAGCTCCTTCATCACAATACATGATTTCTGGGGTTTTGTGGTAGACTCATCTATTGCATGCTGTTATAAAGTTCCCTGAGCTGTTTGGATATTTTCCCCACTGACCCAAATATCAGTGATGAGTTCATTCAATGTCATAACACTGTGCATTGCCTGTAATGAAGAATGTGTGGTGAGCAGAACAATAATGATTTGACTGAAATCTGGTCTGATCAAAGTAGAAGACAGATAACCCAGTGTCCCTGATGTTTCCCAGGCATAATTCTAGCCGTCATTTCACTGTCTCTGTAGACATACACAAACACTTGTGTGTGTGGACACACTAACAAACTCAAACACAGGCCTTTTATACCCCATGAGCCCCAGAAAAGAGAGCATTTCCTTGACTCACCTTAGATCCATTGAAAATTTCATGGTATTTGCTGTGGCAAGATACTCCAGAAAAAGTTGTCAAAACATTAGTCACCCAAAAATAATAAATTATGAATGGTGGTCTTCAATCACAGTACTATGGCTTCTTCCTTTCCCATAGAGCAAATCAAAAAGCAGAAGATTCAAAAGAGCAAGCATATGATACCAGAATTCTCTCTCCCCATTTCACTACTTCTTCCTCAAACTTTTAAGGTGGTTTTATTTAGTAAGGTAGCTTTTAGTACATCTAAGTGCTTTGCTCAATGACTTTTTTAAAGTATTTTTTTTTCAATTTTTGTAATGGCTGTTTATTTTTGATAGTGAGAGAGAAATGGCTTGAGCAGGGGAGGGGAAGAGAAAGGGGGAGACACAGAATCTGAAGCAGCCTCCAGGCTCTGAGCTGCCAGCACAGAGCCCAAAGCGGGGCTCGAACCCACGAACCGTGGGATCATGACCTGAGCCAAAGTCAGACGCTTAACTGACTGAGCCACCCAGACGCCCCTCACATTCTATTTTAAATTAATGCAAAGCTTGGGTCATTTGAATTCATCCACTCCACTAGACTTTGTGTAGCTACTCATATGTCAGCCTTGTAGGTGAAGACACTCTCAAGAAACCCAGGGTCCATATGATGAGTGTGCCATATTGAAAAACATACAAGGGAATGACAAGTCTGCTTCTGTTGGGCAACTCTTACTGTAACCCTTTCTTAGCAAACAAGTAGCATCTTCCATATTAAAAACTAACATTTTTTTGCACCTATCTGGTTTTCCCTTCTTAAAAATTCTACATGCAGAAGTCAGGAATGGTGATTTGGGAGACACGTTATTAAGTGCAAGAATTCTGGAGTTGGAAAAGATGGTTTGGGAATTGTTTTTGTTTTCCTATTATACAGTTCTGTTTCATTTGCCCAATTACTTTGGGCAGTTAAATGGAAACTTTGAGAAATCAGGTGTGATTTGTAGGCTAATAGCCTTTAGAGTACACACACTCTTGCTACATTTGACACTTCAAATTAGGTAAATGGGAACAGGATTCCACATCTTGCATTTATGTATATCTTTATCTGATAAACATCACCCTGAACTCCTGTAGGAAAAACATGAAGGTGGTTTCTTTTCAGCTGTAAGCTTTCGGTGGACAGGAGCCAGTGAGACCAGACATGAAAGATTAATGCTTATTTTGGGGGAAAAAATATTACAGGGTGCCTTGCTGTTTGATTACAAGCCTTGGAATTAGTCAACATTTCCATAATTCTAAACCAATATACACCTGTTTTCCCACTGTGATGTGAAGGCACAACTTAATTTAACAGAAACCCTGCTGTGCTAAATCTCTCATTAAATACCAAGTGAGTTCGGTAATTTAAAGTTGTAGCACTACTATTTTAACTGGTTGCCTTCATATTATGAAATTAATAAGAAATTAATGATGCACTTTGCCATATGCCTTCAATTTCTTTCTGAATAAAAATAAAAGGGATAAAGAAAAATGCATCACCAGCTGACACTTTAAAGCTTTTCTGGTTGTAATCATTTTTCCTGTGGATAAAATCCATTAAAAAGGCACTTGCTGCCTTTTTTTCTAAAGTGTCCAAAACTTTCCATTGAAAACAAGATCAAATAGCACTGGGTTTTTCCTCCCCCCCAGTTTAATTTTCTTCTGCAGTTGTTGTTAGGTATCATAGGGAACTTTTATCGCGCAACCAAACTTGATTGATGTTTAGGGACCATTTTTGGGTCTGGAGAGAAACAAAGAACTCCGTATTGCAGAGGACGAAGTGCTGATGGGACCATCTGTTACTCAGCTGAATGTGTTTGCTCTTAGATTTTTATTGGAAGGCATCCTTCCTTCATGCCAGGTCAGGTCATAAAGACCCTTTCCATAGTGGGCAGGTGATGAGGTGGCTAAGGAAGACACTGGGTCTTTCTTCCTCTGAAATGCTCATCATGAATCCTAAAAATACAGTATTGGAAATAGGGAGCAATTCAACAGCTCAACACAAGGAGGAGCAGAGACAGAGCCCCTGGATGGCATTTCCCTGGTTTGACCACGCTCTCCTCTAGAAATGGAGGCGTGATGCACAAGCCGCAGATCACCTCTGAGGCACGCTGCCTTACTTGTTTCTGACATCTCATTAGATTAACAAGACACTAACGATTATTGAGTCCCTACTGTGTGCGCTAAGCTACAGGCACTGAGCTCTAGCAGTTCATACATGCTGCCTTCCACCCGCCCTTGAGATGCCCAGTGAGTAAGACTCCCATCTCCTGAAGAGAATACCTTCCGTATGTCCACACAGGCAGGGCTCCTCGGTGAGCCTGTGGGTTTGCTGCAAAACTGTTAGCCTGACTCTTTCCACAGCTGAGCCCTTGGTGTTCCTGGACAGATTCTGGTTGCCTCTGCTTTGACAAGTTTGGCAGATCGGGCTAACAGATAGCTTCTCTTGTTTAGGATGGCACAACCTGACTGGAAGAATTAGTCACAGAAATGTCATCGTCTTCTGTTGTATTTCCCAGAGAGAAAAATCCTTGCAGAGGCAACTTGAGAGATTCATTTTGTATTCACTGACCTAATTTGGCTTAATTAAAAAATAAAATAAAGACCTTAATCGAAGCACAGAAAAACGGCCACGATCTCTTCAATAATCAGATGTCCAGGACCAAATATCCCCGTGCCAGTGACAGCATTGTGCCTTATGTCATTCTTTTTTCAAGGTCTTAAAACATATTGTCTCTCGCCATAAGGCTTTCTGATTGAAAAGCTACAACAGTAACATTAGAGCGTTCACTGTATAAATTAATTTAATTAAGGATGTAATAACAGACAGGAATATAGTTTTGGAAAAGCTCTTAAATTTTAACAGCAAGGAGGAATCAGAATCTAAATGTCTTGTAAAATATTAATTGCAAATGTCTTCCAGACATTTTCTCTGCCTATGCCTTCCTCCTTCCTTTCTTTTTAGAATCACTACCGGTTTTATTAAATGCAGTTTATATTAAGGAGTTACTGCCCTAAGAGAACATTTGTTTAGAGCGTTCCATTTCAGCGGTGGCTTACCGAAAGGTGTTTTATAAGAACATTTGCAGTGTGAACGAGGGCTCCACGTAGATTGGAGATATAAAAACAAATGAGGCTGATCCAGTAGGAAGAAGCTGTAAATAAAACTGCCTCTTGGGACAAGTGTGTTCACCCACATGAAGTGAATGAGCCCCTTCTTGGCTTCCCTGGAAGGGATCATTTACCTACACAGGCAAGCACTCTGTTTCCTGCCAGGTGGCCTTCCACTCTGTCCTCTATAGGATTGTCCCCCTGTGTCCTTTAAGAGCAGAGTGCTGGGGTTTAATATTCTTCCAGCAGAACAGCTTGGCTCTCACTGGGACCAAATTCAATTTGCCCATTGTAATGCGTTCTGAGGTACTCATTTTCTTTGAACCACCTCTTCTAATTATTAATATGTATTTAATGCCTTTGTTCTCAGAGCCATGAAGATTATTTTATCATTACCATCATCATTATTATTTCTGTCATAAAATCCCTCAAACCCCATCTCACCATATCATGGAAATCCGCCTGCCCCAAACCATCTTATTTGAATCCCAGCCTAACTAGACCAGGGTAGATAAACTTTTTTCTCGGATATCATTTATTTACAACAGGAAGAAACCACCAAAATGTCTACATAAGCAGGTTGAAGTCTTCAAAAGCATGTTATCATGTAGAACACACAAAACATTCATACACTCATTCAACAAGTAGTTACTGTTGTTGTTTTTTTTAACTTTACATGTTTTTATGTATTTCTGAGAGAGACAGAGTATGAACGAGGAGGGGAAGAGGAGAGGGCAACACAGAATCTGAAGCACACTCTCAGAGCCCGATGCGAGGCTCAAACTCCCGAACTGTGAAATCATGACCTGAGCTGAACTCAGACGTTTAACCGACTGAGCGCCTCCCCCCCGCCAGGCACCCCAGTATTCACTGAAT